TTTGTCTCTCTGTCTCTGTCTTTCTGGCCAGCACACGCGCCCTATAGGAAAAACTTCTCCAAAAAAATAACAGCAGCAGCCGAGCGCCCCCGCGCGGCCCCCCCCCCCTCGCCCCGCCCCCGCCCCCAGCACGAACGTTGATTGGCTAGCGGCAGGCTGGGAGCCCGGCTGGGCGCGATCCCAGGCGTGGAAGGGAAGTCTGGTACTCCTGGGGTCTAAGGCCGAGACCCTGTGGACGCAACGGAGGAGGTCCCAGGGGGCCGCGAGAGCGCTTCAGGAGCCGCGCCTCTGCCATCTCCCCGCCAGCCAGGCCTCCCTGGGGACAGTGCGCGGTGCGCGATGGGCTTACCGATCTCCGTTACGTTCGCGGGGACCGCGCCGCCGGTTTGCGACCATGGGACTTGTAAGGCTGGACCTGGGACCTTATCGGGAGTGAACTCCCCACCTGCGGGTCAAAATACGGATACCCGTACCTAGTGACCTGGAAAGAATGGACGAGGCTGGAGGCGGCCCGTCCGCTTGGCGCAGTGGCCTGGGATTCGGTTCTGGCCTTGCTGCTGAGCGAGCGCCTTCGGGGGCCGCCGGAGGAGAGAGCCGGCCCTGCGGACGAAGTACTGAGAGCTGCGGACTGGAGGCACCGGGACGCCGCGAGTACCACGGCCTCCTCCAGGCACTGGAGGATCCGAGCGCGGGACGCCCACGTGGCCGCCGCGGTTTGAGTCCCAGACCTTGACAATCTCGCCTGCGCATGTGCCTGCGTGTCCAAAATCCCGAAAGGGAGTGGAGAAGGGACTGTGGAGTGGCCATCCCCCCCGAGGGTGATTTCGTACTTTCCCTCTCTCTGCAGCCAGCAACGTGCCCTATGGGGGTAAAAAGGCACAGGGAACTTAGGGCAGATTCAGTACAGCCGGGTGCACTGCCTGAGGCCTGAAGGAGAATTAGCTGGAGTGGGCTTACGAAAGCATGTGTGGAGGGGACAGCGTGGTGGTAGACATGCCAGACCCAGCCGAACCCTGCGCTAGCTGTGTGGACTTGGCAGCACGCTTCTTAGTATAAAAACAGGGCAGGGAACCAACAGTTAGCGTAATGGGTATGTCGCTGGACTCCAACGTAGAAGACCGCGGTTCGCGTCCCGGACCCGGTGGCTTAAAACTCACGCCGGGCACGTGTGCGTGCGTGCCCAAATGAGAAGGTAGGATAAGGGATTGCGGCGTGACCATCCCCTCTGGGGGGTGATTTCTCGCTTTCTGTTTCTAATGTGTCTGTCTGGCGAGCACACGCGCCCTATAGCGAAAATCTCTCTCAAAAAAAAAAAAAGTATAAAAACAGGGCCAAGTCAGTTCTCCAGACAATGGTATAAAGCTCAGTGGAAACAGATTATTTTTATTTTTATTTATTTTTTTTGGAGAGGCTTTTTTTTTTTCTATAGGGAGTGTGCGCTCGCCAGACAGAGAGACAGAGAGACAGAAAGCAAGAAATCAGAGGGATGGCCATGCCGCAATTCCTTCTCCTTCTTTCTCCCTCCCGTGATCTTGGGCACGCACGCACACGCGCCCAGCGTGAGTTTAAGCCACCAGGTCCGGGACTCGAACCGCTGTCGATTACGTGGGAGTCCAGCGACATAGCCATTACGTTAACTGCTGGTCCCTATTTTTCGTTTTTTAAAGATTTTTGCTATAGGGCATGTGTGCTCATTGGAGAGACAGAGACAGACAAAAAGCAAGAAATCATCCCCTGAGGGGATGACTTCACAAGGCCTTCTCCACTCTTTGAGATTTTGGGCACGCACACATATATGCCCTGTGAGTCTCAAGCGGCTGGGTCCAGGACTCGAGCCTCAGTGGGCCATGTGAGTCCAGCGCCTTAACCGCTATGCTACCAGCTGGCCTCCAGGAAAGTCTTTTTTTTTTTTTTTTTTTTTTGGAGTTTTTTTTTTATGGG